AACTTCTCCAGCTTGTGCTTGATGATTTAACAAGGGGAAAAGCCACAAACTGTGGCCTGGGAGGTTCACGTGTGACCTCAGGAAAAAACGTATCACCAGGAGAGTGGTGTGGCCCTGGAATGGACACCAGAGGGATGGAAGCTCTCCATCTTTGAGAACTTCCAAGACTTATCGAGACAAAACCACGGCCAACCTCACCTGATGGTAGAGGTAGTCTTGCTCCAAGCAGTAGATTGGATTAGAAAGCTCTAGATGTTCCTTGCAACCAGTACTTCTGTAATTCTCGGACTTCGTGAGTCTTTAATTTCAAATGTGCAGGAATTGAGACTCAAGGCAACTATTCTGAATAGCAAACATATTTCTAAAAACAAACAAAGCCCAGCACCCCAAACTCCAAAGTTGTATGCTTGTGTTTAATTTGAAAGCAGAATAAACCGTTTAATTTTTCGGTGACTTTATTAGTATGATGTTGTACCTATGAAGTCTTTGTTCATCCTTTCTCAGTACCAAGGGTGGAAAAAGCAGAAAGAACAGCTTGCTTATAAGGTCTCAGTAAAACTGCATGACATTAAGAAATACTTTGTTCTAATTGGAGCCTGTTTGACCCTGGAGCCAGAGCAGTGTAATGGAACAAGCACAACTCGAATGAAGTCGCTTTTCACAGTGTTCTGTGGAAAGCAAGAAAAGGAAAGAGAGAAATGCAGAGGATATAAAGGCGGGAGAGCCAGAGAGATGCATTAAGAGGAAGAAGAAAAGGCAGAATATGTCATGGAAAATGGCCAAAAGAAGGGAGGAAAGAAGACAAAGGAAAGAAAATATTAGGGAGAAAAGAAGAGAAGGAAATAGAAAAGAAGAAGAAGGAAGCAAAGTGAAATTGTAAAGAAAAGGAGGAGTGTCCTTCTGCCCTACTAGGCAGAGCAATGAGGTGGTAGGACAGCAAGCAGCCTCAGGCAGTAGCACTCGTTATTTCCATCCCGGCTGATGTCATTGATTGCTTCTCTCCTCCCTTGTCATGCTTGGTGACAGAATTGCAGGACTTGGGAGTCATAATGACCTGCTCCGTTCCTGCTTGGCTCAGGCACAAGTTTTCTTTCCAGCTCCAAACAGGCATGGCTTCATCTGTTTAAGGGTGCTTCTGGATTGCACCCATCAACAGACATGGGGAGGTGGTGAGGGACAGGCTATTTGGGACCACTCCGGTCCAAGCAGGTGGACACCTTGCTCCTAGCCTGTCTTTTGCAGACAACCAGTTTGTTCCTCAGCTGCAGTGCTGGGAAACTCCCATCGGACTGATTTCTTTCTTACCTTGAGAGTGCCTTGCTGTTTTTTTTTCTTGGTATCGCTATTTCCTTTTAAACCAACCTTGCTTTTCACCCCTCTTTCTCCTCCAAGGAAATTTCTCTTGCAAGGCTCAGATCCTACAGCATCCAACCACCTTCTGTCAGGGGGTTTAATTAGTCAGAGGAAATAAAACAAATGATGCTTCGTTTGCCAAAGGGAAGAAGTGGGGGAGGGGGAAAGGAAGATGGGGAGGACAGAGAAACCTTAGTAATGAAGAAAGCAGAATCTTAAGCTACATGGGCCTAGGCCTTTAGGGCTTATTATTCCCAAAGGACCGAGCTCCTGTTCTTGCAGCCGGTGTTTTTTATGGTTATCCACCCTCATGATGCCAACAGAAATCCCACCAGGGCTAGAGCAACTATCCCTTCTCTGTAGGGAGAAGGGATGAGCTTCATAGCATTTCTTCAGCAAAAGTCCTTCTGGTGGTCATGGATTTTGTGAAAGTTTGGCTGAAGCATAAAGAAGGAGGTGCAGATCAGGGTCCTTCCTGTGGGAAGGGCTGCAGATAGACAACTGCTATTACCCACAAGTCTGGCTTCCACTTGGCCAGTTGTCATTTGTGTAACACCTTCCCAATGAGCCAACGTCTGACCAAGGAATGGTCCAGTCCATGCAACCTGGTACTTATCTGATGGAGGATCTAGGAGAGAGTTATGGGTGGTGTGGGAAAGGGGATAGGGAAGGGAGTGAAAGCACCTGAGGTTACTGGGGCTGGAGGGATGTCAGAGAGGATGTGGAAGGGAGGGGAGTTAGGTTTACTGTGTTGGAGGTGTAGGGATGTAGTCTGCACATCTATTAAAGTCCAAACTCCATTTCTTCAGTTACTCTTGGATGGTTTAGGAATGAGTTATATGTCAGGCTTTTTTTACTTTAATGGAGCTCCTCCCTCCCCCACTTTTATCCAGCTACCCATGAAAAGTCAGTGAAATGAGACCTACTTAAATCAAATGTCACAATCGATGCTCATCGCAGGCCACCATTTGTGCGATGTGAACTCATATTGCCGTAAGGGGGGAGCAGGGAGAGAAAAAGGGTTGGGAGTAAGCTTGGAGGCGAGCGAGCAAGAAGCAATCCATGTCTGAGCAGTTTGTGTTTCACAGGGCATTCATCACAACCATGCATCTCTGGGGTGGGACAAGGCTGTTGTTCTGCAGGGGGGAAGCAAAGGTGGCAAACAGAGAAGTTGTGGCTTCATACTGGAGATTGCATCTCTCTCTCCTATACCCTACTCTAGTGCCTGACTAAATCAGAGGCTTCTGTTCCCAGAAGAAAGTCCCTTCCACATTTCAATTTATAAGGAACAGGATATGATATTTCAGCACTCATTGTGCCTGGAATATGTCCAATTTCAATTTTATTTGATGGAAGATGAATCAAAATATTGATATTTTCATTGAATTTTTTTTTATGTTTACCTAGTTCCCAAAAAAGTGCTTCTAACCTTCCACAAATATTTGCCAGGAGTAAATGCTCAGGGTGGGAATACAGACATTTGAATTGATGTTAAAAACCACAATAATCCAAGTCTCTGTGGAAGTTCAGAGGAAGAATCCACATGTGAGCTGAAATGCTTTCCTTGAGCATTTTGGGAAGCTCTAGGTGGAGGGAAATGCAGGACCGTGCTGGATGGATTGACGAGGCTCAGCACCACCTTATTCTTGCGGTTCCTGCACAATTTCTGGTAGTTAAAAAGTCTAAGATATTGCCGGAAATCCAGTTCCATAATTTCAGCAACTTGGATTAGGATCATCAGCCAAACCCTTTGTACATACCTATGGTGTAGTTTTGGAGAGTCCTAAGTCTCCTGTTTCATAGGACAAACTCAAGGAAGCTATACAGGCATGCTGGGGTGGTGAGGTGTCATCACTAATGTGGTCAGTAGGGAGGGGACGTTACAGGGAGGCAGCACCACGCTGGCTTCCAGTCTGTAGCTGGTCTGCATCCAGTGAGATCCCTCAATCAACCTGTACTCCTTTGGGTATATATGCCACTTGGGCGTTCAAGTCATTGGATGTGTCACTAAGTTTTGTCTCAGGTCCCTTAAGCTCTTGTTCCAGCCTTCCCAATAGCTCCTGTGGGGTTCACTGCAGCAGTGTGGTGAAAGTTTTGTTCCTCATGATTTCTCCTCAATAAGATTCGAAATGTGAGAGATGCCCTTGGTCAAAATATGCAAGTAAGGAGGATCTTCTCAAGCCCTTCAGATTTCAGGGACAATTCAGCTCAGATCCTGATGTGTCAGGGTTGTTTGTCTCTTCTTGGTGGGCTCTATGGAGTAAAACAGTACTGACTGTGGGCCTCGAGTCAATGGACACATACTTGCTTTGCCCATGTGTTGAGCTGGCCAGACTCCATATAAGCATAGCACTGAGCCTTGCCTAATATATTTTGCTTTGCAGAAGGCTCAGTAGCTCGAAACAGAGCTGCAGTAGCTTCAGCTTCATGGCATCCCACTGCTTGGAGGTTCAGGTTGAGCAGCATCATGCCTGCCCACAAAATGGTGTAGACAAGTCCTTAGAGGACTGCTTGTTCTATTCCCAAATTCATACATAATTGCATTTTTTTTCCCTATGCTAAGCCCCTGCTATGTCAGAAACCATCTCATCTCCGTGGCTGTAGTGATAGGTGTTGGTACTGTGCCAATCTAATGACAACCTTGACTGTGCTCCCACACCTCTGCATGCTGCCCAATCACTCCAAATAGAGGGTTCTCATGAGTGTGCTGCACAGTGAGTCTCTGCTTCTCTGCCTTCACGCCAGCAGAGATCACTGATGTGGAAATGAGAAACATGCTGGAAAAAACAGCCTGCAGCAGAGAAAAATGAGTGGGATCCAGCTCCTCACTTTGAGCTGAGAACAGAAGGAGTTTAGTGATATTAGTCTGGCAGATGTTGGCTGGTTACACAGTTAGCCCCAGTGATGCAGAGAACTAGATTAGGAGAGGTTACAGCGTGTGTGTTTGTTCTTGGCGTTGCAAAAGCTGATCATCATCAGATCTTTGTGTTCAGATGGGAAAGGAGAACCATTCCACACTAGTTTTTCCAGTAAGGACCCCTGCATATGAAGAAATGCTTTGTGTAGTAGGGTAAGAGTAGTGAAATGATGGATGGTATGACTGGAGGCTGTGTCCCTGGGGAGGGTATACATCTTGGTTTTTCTTTGCTTGCTTCACCTCCTCCTTCTCCAGATAGATGTTTGTAGTTGGTGGAAGATTTTTACCACCTTTTCATCCTCCAGCCTTCATCACCGCCATTCCCAGAAGAGCTCACTTGTAATTGTTCTAGTATAGACACTGCCTTCTGCTGTTGCCTCATTAGTTATCTTTAAAGTTTCACACTGGATATGAAGGGCCTGATCCTCCTCTTGCAACCCATGCCTTTTACACACCTGCCTCGCCATGGGTGTCAGGGTTGTTACCCAGACTTAACACTGGTGTGTGTGGGAGCGGAATCAGTGCCAAAAAAAGGTTCGGGTCAACCAGAAATAGATCCTGGTCTGCATTCCTCTTTATTTGTATGTGCAGTGCGATGTGAAGGTCAGGTGAGTTGACACACAGGCAATTAAGAAGAAAGTTCTTGCCATGAAATTGATGAGATTGAGCCGGTAGTGTTTGCTGAGCTTTTTTTTTTTCGTTTTTTAATGTCTTACTTTCTCTCTTTCAGAACATGGAAAAGGTGCTGGTCCCTTCTGTCACGTTAATTGTAGGCTGTGGAGTATCTTCGCTGACACTTTTGCTGTTGATTATCATTTATGTCTCTGTTTGGAGGTATGGCTTTCATTCTGTTCTCTTCTTGTTGGGGGAAATAACTGTCTCTTGATCTACACGGATCCTGGAGGTTTCGTTCTCCTGTTTTGGGTGTCTGGTGCCTGAGGAAGAACTGTTTGGTAGCGAGTGGGTCCTGCAAAAAGTCATCATGGTGGCTTAGCTGGCATTATTCTTTCCTTTTAGTGCCAGAGGAATTAGTACAGTGAAATTAGTGCCATGACCCCATGTAGTCGCATTGTTCCATTTTCAAAAGCCACGTGCTGGTTTAGATGCCTTCAAATACCCCAGGAAACCTTGTTCGTGGAGAGGTGGACACTCACTGCCTCCTGGCAAGCAGATTGCTTCAACGTATTCCCAGTTGGGTCTTCGATAACATCAAAACATCCATGACCCGTTATGAAAACATCTGGCCTGAAGAACCGACAGCACTTTTCAGGAGCTTAAGGATGATAAACCACATAGTCTAAATAACTCTCCAACCTCTTAGCTGTGTTTTACCTTTTAGCTTCAGATGCATATGGGGTTCCTCAGTACATCCCGATGCAGAGAGCTCCTGTACAACCATAAGCAGGTCAGGTGTAACCTTAAATTGTATCATTTATAGAGTCTGAAGTGATCTGCTAGCAAAGTTTTGTTGAACAAAGGCCCACATTGGCCCTGTTAGATACATTTCAGTGGACCGTATAAGCTGGAGGACTCAAGGTGTGCAAGGGTTTCTCCCCCTATATTGCATTGAACAAGATCTGAGTTTATACTGCAAGACCCATGCCTTTCCTAAACCCATGGCAAACATGCCAAGAGCTTCATGACTTTAAGCTAAGTAAAACAAAGAATATCAGAACTAGGTGAATGACTGTCAAATTGAAATGGAGTGGCCGCAGAGGATATACTGTTTGGATATTATTGGTGACCCTTTTGTGAGAAGGGATCAGTCTGAGGCTCTTACTTTGTCAAGTGATTCTTCTTAGTAGGAAGGAAAGGGTAAATTCATTTCAGAGTTGCGAACTGAGATAACTTTCCATACCCTTTGACAGAGGAAAAAAACAAGAGAGTAAAAAAATGAGCAAAAATGCATCTTTTGTTGATACTGTGACAGTGCATAGTGGCTGGTTAATGATGGCAAGTGCTACGAGCTGAAGACTGATCATAATAACGTTTATCTAGAACTCAGGTTTTTCCGTGCCTGGGGTATCATTGGATCTGCTCAAGTCCTTGTCCTCTCCTGCTTTTCCTCAGGCTGGGCAGCACTGGGCAGCGCTGGTAGGTGACTTACTGGTGTCACTGGTGTCAGGATCAAGTGGAAAGTTAGGATAGAAGAGTAAAGAGCAAGTGTTCGAGCCTCACCTTCTCTTTCCTATGAGAAACAAGTTCAGGATCTGAAACTCAAGTTCAGACATGAGGTTGAATCAGTTTGGAGCATGCCAGAGTCATTTGGAATAACATCATGCATTTTCTTCCAGGAGTGTCACCCTCAATATTTACTGTTATTGAGGACAGTAAAGTTAATTGCCTGCCCTGTTTAAAATACGCTCTTTCTAATTTCTCATGCCAGCCTTTGTGTTATGCCTATGCCCAAAATGATCAGCATGAATGGGGGGACATGTTTATGGGAGGCTTGAATGGGCACTTCTGAGCTAGCCAAGGATGGACATGCATTTCCAAGTGATCCTGAGACCAGCTATATCTTGATTAAAGGGCTCTCTATCCTAAGTCTCTTTGTGTAAATATTTGTAAAGCATGATCAAGTGATCTCTAGAATTTCTCTTTGGTGCGCTGAGTTTGTTTCATTTCTTCTCTGTAGATCATGTTTTCATGTTTTCTAAACTTCACAGCATTCCCGTGGCTGAGCCCTCAGCACTCTGTGTGTCCTTTTTATTTTAGGCATAGCTGCTGGACATGAATGTGCAGTCCTATTAATGGTCTCAGGAACATCATATTCAAGTCAACATTACCTCCTGGCTCCCACTTTGTTTTGCCGTAGTTGTTATCTAGTCTGATAGACAACAGATGGAGGAATGCTTGGAAGTGGGATCATCAGTATTATTCCAGCTGTTGCTGCTCAAATACAGGAGCAGTATCAAAGTGGTTCTTTTTCACTGTGTAAGGGAGAAACTCCTCATGCCCTAGCTGCCTGGTCTTCTGTGGAGAGCACTCACCAGAGCTCAGCTGTTTTGGGGAGCTTTGGCCAGGAAATTTCCCATTCAGACCTCTGGACAAAGGCATCTGGAGGATGCATACATAGACTCAGCTTGAGTCTGAAACACTTCTGATGAATAAGCTCACTGAGGCTGACAATCTGGAAACTTTCCCAGATTTTTGCCCAGTTAGGGTTTGTTTATACATGGGAAGCAGAAAGAAATGGCAGGGGAGAAAGAGGGAAAGGAACATGGTAAAAGAAAAAAGGGGGGCAGAGTAAAAGGGAGGTGATCCCAGCTTTAGGCTGCATATCAGAAAGGAAATTAATTTACCCTCCACTTCCCATTCAGAACCCCCAAATAATGGTTGCTTCTTAGTGGCACCTACTCAGCCATCGGCATGAACGGCCTGAGCTTTTTGATGCAAGCGATCGCTTCAGACAAAGCCAACTTGGCACGGTCTCGTTGAAAACTGGACGTTGTTTCTGTTTGACGGCTGTTGGTGGCCTGTTGGTGGACTCACTCCAGTTCCCAGTAGACAGATGGCTGAAAAAACTCTGCTGCAGATGGTGCATCTCTGGCCTTATTAGCAATCTTGACAGAGAGGTCAGTGACACAGTGGGCCGTAGAAGCGGAGTGACCTTGTTGTATCTCGGCAGTGGCTGTCCTGAGTCACAGCTGGAGACAAGATCTGTGTGTGGGCCATGTGCTGCTCCACCACCCATGTGGAAAAAGAGGGGGAGTTGAAAGGCAAAAGATCCCTCCTCTTGAAAACTGACATGAAAATCAAAAACTGGGCAGAAAAGGAACTATTGAAGGGTCAGAACAGGTGAAATGGCTTAGTACCGTGTTTCTCTAAGCTTTGGTCTGTACCACTCCTTCCAAGCAGCTCCTTGACACAGTGGTGTTCCATGAGTGCCCCAGTGTCTTTTCCATCCCTGAACTCACAGCAGCCTCTGGAGTCAGTGACCTTTCCATAGCATGGAGATCGATGGTTGCTATCGAATGGCTCTTCCACCAGCCCATCAGCATGTGGGGCACGGCAGAGCTTTTTCCCTGGCGGCGGCTGGGTGAATGCTGCATTGCTGGAAGATATCAGTGCGAACTTTCCTCACTCCCTGCTCATCGAAGCCTGAGGATTGATTTAGTGGTTGTCAATGAGCTCTCAAGGGGCTTTTAACGCTTGCTTTAAACCCAGGAGCTCTGCCATTGCCAGAGATGCTGAGGCACTCGATGGCGCTGGTGGGAGGTAGCAGGAAT